AGATTTGAAGAGAAATAGAAGATTTCCGCAGAAGAAAAGGAAGGATCGAGAAGAATGGAAAGTTCCCGATTTAAGTCAAATCTGGGCGAAATGGAAAGATCGGATAGCCAAGATGATGAGTATATAAAGAGGAGGTCTAGGGCNTCTAGGGCAGAAGCAGACACACGAAATTCAGAGCTCTCACCACCAAAACTAGCATTTAGGAATATTTCCGTTTTTCTGTTAGCGAGCTGCGTCTCAATTAGGGTTTTCTAAGTTCTTACGTTTACGGCTACTCTTCTTGTAACCAGTTCAACGCAGATTCGGAATAAGAACCTTCTTGCTTTCAAACCTCTCTTATTTTTCGTTTTTATTCTAAGTGTTTTAGTCATCTTAATCTTTGTTGTGCGGTTCTCGCAGATAGCCGGTTCCTCTGGAAACTTAGGGTTTTCCCGAAGTTTCCTTATTTACGATTTATTTGACAGTAGGGTGAAATCGACTCCCACATCTTCCCTTATGTTAACAAGTAGGTATCTCCTCATCTCTTCTAGAATTTCTTCTTCAATTCGTGGGGGACCAGTAAACGGGTTAATGCCAACTTGAGATTCACGCAACACCCCAAAGAGAGGGTCTTGTTGATCTAAGACAGGGTTATTTAAAATCCTCTCTTGCTGGACTTTTCTCCTTCTTGCTATAGTTTCCTCTTGTCTCCTTCTCACCGACAAAGGGCAAATACTCTTCTCATGGTGAAGCCTCTGACAGATAAAACATCTTTATTTTCATAATCAAATTGAATCACAGTACACGTTCTTCCACTCAGATCAATAAATTTTGACATCTTCAATGGGTTAGCCACATTGAATCTCACTTTAACCCTAACAAAAGGCTGAGTGATAAGTTTCAAATGGTCAAAAGCCACAACGATGACTTTACCGATGATGTCTCCCAGTGCTGTTAGAGCTACTTTGGTGTAGTGATTCACCGGGATCTTGCTAATTTTCACCCACAACGGGATGTACCGAAGGTAATCTTCCGGTGGGTTTTCCACCAATCTTTCAAGGACAATGACCCACTCATTGAAGGTCTGAATTCGTTTCTCCAGCACAGCCATCAGATTATGTTTGTTTTAAAAGATAAACTGGAACAGTTCATGAGATAGAGCGATGCCACGAACTCTCCTTATTTTCCCCATTGTTGGCATCTTGAATATTAGAGTTGGCATTCTTTGACACTCTGGATTCAAAATTCTTCTCATAAGACTCAATTTATTATCCTACACCGAGCTAATACCAAGCATGTCTTGCATAGAACATGTTATCTTTCTCTATTCAGATTTAGAGACATTTTGGCTATGTCCATAACCATCTATATATTTTTATACCACCGAAGTAACTCTCTTCTTACACCAACTTTTAAGACTCAACCACTTTTCTTTTAAATATTTGAAGAACTGAAGAACAAACAAATAAGATTTTTGAAAAAATGCAAGTTATTATCTCCAAACTAATGTTATCCTTGATTTTTGATTTAGAAAACATGTTTTAACCACCTAATTGCTCTCTCCAAATTGAAACTTGACTTAATCCCTTGGATATTAAACTAAAGTACACTAAAGATCGCCAGGGAGAAAACCTCTCATTAACCGACTTACACTCAAAACCTTCTTCTAATTTGTGTTGTATATTAGTTTGTTACAATATTATAAATCATATATATTATTTTATTTTCTTTGGCATGGCACGGCTTTTCCTAAACTAAAACCACTGAAACTAATTGAAAATCAATCATTTCAATCATCTCAAGTTCATAATTCCATACATATCTAAAACTAGCTAGTTGGCCATCTGAAATTAACGGCCGACATTGTTTGCTAGAACAAATCAACGGCTGGTCAAATCTTAGCATAGGATCAAAACATCAAGAATGTAAATCCCATGCAACCAGGTCTAGTGGTTAAAGTTTAAAGGTTTCTACACCATGTCTGGGGTTCGAATCTCAGGCTACACAGTTTCTACACCAGAAGGGTTTCAATTCCCGAAAAAGGTGAATGGCGAATTATGCAAGATTTGAGAAAAAACTTCCAAGAGATCTTCATCATGGCGCAAGGTATACCGTCATGGATAGATCTCACAAGACGGTTCAGGGTAATGTAGTCAGACACAAATCCACATAAGACAATTAGCATTATTCACTGTAATATCATCTATATAATTTCCATAGTTTGTAATAGTTAACTAGGTAACTAACACGGAGCACAACTACCCAACTTAGCGCACGATTGAGATTCACCACACGTGTCAAGGGCAGGTGGGTATGTATTTTTTTTTTTTTTTATAACACTTGAACATGTGAAGATAATATTTGTGATACAAAGCAACAATTAAGAAATTAAATAGGATGTCAATAGACACCACACAAACAAGGAGAAAGAAAGAAAATCTCACCCACTCCCATTATTGTCGACTTTCCCTAGTTAGAAAAAGCTGAAGCCAAGCCGGAGCATTTCGGCGACGAATGATTAGGATTGACCATTTCGGATGAGACAATACCTCATTGATGAGCCTCCAGCGCGAGTAGATGATGAAGCCACACCGGAGCGTTACGGGCGATGTAGGATTGATGACGAAGGTCGCGCGTGACACTCAAAGCAATTGCCGCTGCAGCTTCATTGCGTTCGGGAAGGGCATGACCCAAACTCCATGAATCAATCCTTGCAAGGAGGAAGAAAATGCTGTGACGTATATGGCTGAGACTAAGGTAATTCGTCGTGGTAAGAGCATCATGTAGGGTTGCAGAGGCAGTCTCAAAAATAATATTCGAGAAATGTAGAGTATGCAAACAATCGACTGCCCAAAAGAGAGCCCACAAATCTGCTTCTGTCTTTGAGCGCATACATGAGTAAGCACGACGGCTATGCAAGATTGTGGACCCTTTTTCATCCCGAAGGATCCAAGAAGCACCCGCAGTATGGCTTGAATGTACCCACGAAGATCCAACATTACATTTGAGGAAACCAATAGGTGGTTTTTTCCATTTAATGGTTTCCGGAACAACCTCATCACCTCCTTCCTTCCTACCAGAGAAAGTATCGAACCATGTGGATTCTTCCTCATAAGTTTTACTAGCAATGAAAGATGCCTCTATCCTCTTAGACTCAAAGACGAAAGCGTTTCTAGCTTTCCAAATTTCCCATAACAACCATGGGAAAACATTCCTTGTATGAATATCCATAGAGGGGCTCTTGTGAATCTTGATCAAGTGCACAAAATTTAAAAAAGTGGAAACGGGGTACAAGGACAGCTGTCATGGGCCCGAGAGATAAAGACGTTTTGATTATTGGGCCTGAGAGAGGTGCTTGTGGGTCCCCTAAATAATAAACAATTCCTTATAAAAACGCTTTGTCTAGTCAGCTCCTCGTTTGATATTTCCAACTCTAGTGGGAGGACCCATCTCCCGACTCGAAGGCCTTGTTGTATCGACAGATGACAAGTTGTGTGGTCCTTTGCCACTTTCTTTTTTGGACCTTTATTATCATTGATCACTACACAACTGACCATTTCTTTTGTTTGTATTGATACACTTTTGTTTATATATTCACAAAAGGTTTTTAAAGTTTATTATTGCTTTGCCGTTTGTATCATGAGTCATTGCTTACTCAGAAACGTTGAGTGCTGGACGTAATCTTTAGTTATATATATAATAATACTACTAGTATCGTTCACCTACCATTGATTTTATATGTCAAAGTCTACTACTCTGTGTTATTTGAAAATTTAATGTGGAAATATTTTGTTATATTGAATCAAAACATATAAAACATATAATTCCAAGTCGGTACTGATATTTTTATGTAGAATTTTACGTATGTGACACGTCTGTTATGCAGTAAACTAAAATATAAACAAGGAATGTGAGTGTAGCCATCAAAGTTATACGTATAATCAAGAAGGTCGGTCACGCTATTGCTCGTTTATTACCAGGACAAGTATAAAGCGTATGCATTCCTTTCATATTAAATTCAGAGTACATGTTTCTAGAACGTTTTGACTATTAGATTTAGCTTTTACTCTGAACTGTGATCGTGCCAGACTGTACAGATTTTCAACCAGGGGATTGGATTTGTTACCTGCAGCTTAGCACGTGTACCTCTCATGAAATATTTATTCACTTATACGATAGTAATAAAAAACGTTACTGTCCATAAAAGGAATTAATGAGGAGTATACAAGTACAACAAGCAAAAAACTAAAGAAATGAGAGGTCTGATTTATAAATTTACCCATGAATGAAAACATTGTCCAGGGGAGATGCATCCCAAGAGGTCAGAAACTACACACGACAACAGTTTAATGATACAGAATATTTAGTACAAAATATCAGTAATATAAAATAATATAACAGTATTATATGAATATAAATATTAAGTGAAGATATAAATAATATAAATTTTGGAAACTTTCGTTCAATGTTAAATTTTATATTTATGGAAAGTCCTTCAATCATGCGGTACGCATGTTATTGTTATGGCCAACGAATCTCACAATCGCAAGACTTGTTTGATTCCCCTCGACCAACCAGATCCACCCAAATTATTGTAATGCATAAAATTTAAATTCTACTTATTTTTGTATGTTCGCTATTCCTCAACGTTACCCAAAAACAAACGTATAGACTTCTGTAGAGGAGAATATAAAAATAAAATATTTTCGCAGAAAATTGGTAGTATTAATTAAATAGAAAATAAACATATAACTGGTGCAGACAAAGAGTTTGATTCATTGTATTTTAATATCGATAAATTTCCCTCGTAAAATAACAAAATGAAAATGATAAAATAATGAATTATTGAACTTTAACGTATAAGATCTTTTGAGATTGGAAAAAGGAAAGAAAGAACGGTGACGATGTATCTAGACCACAGTAACTATACTGTTCAGCACCACAGGCGATTCACTAAAGTCAAGAAGAGAAAGTCCGAGCTCCGCTTTATAAATTGACACCAAATCAACCACCTTTCTCCTCCCCTTCTTCCTTCTTCTTCCTCTTTGAGTTAAATCTCAAACCTCTGCTTTTGCAGTAACTTCTCTTCCTTAATTCAAAAACTTTCCTTCTTTTTCAAGATTCATATTAGCAATGGCGTCGCATTACAATAGCTTTTTCGGCAGTGAAGAGCCACACTTTCTTGAATCTTGCTCTCTTTGCCGTAAATACCTTGGTCTTAACTCCGATATCTTCATGTACAGGTACTAATCTGATCATCCCTAATCATATTGCTAGATCTGAATTTCAAAAGTGATTGCCTTTATTGATATCGAGATCTTTTTTTTTTATTTAAACAGAGGAGACAAGGCGTTTTGTAGCAACGAGTGTCGAGAAGAACAGATTGAGTCCGATGAAGCCAAAGAGAGAAGCTGGAAACTTTCTGCTAGATCTCTCCGTAAAAAATCTTCCGAAGCAGCAAAAGATTCCGCCGCCGGCAAAACCGTACGGACAGGAACTCTCGTGGTGGCGTAGTAGACGTGTTTTTATTACATAAGAAGATCAAAACAAGTAGCTTTTCTATATAATATACCCTCTTTAAGAAAAAAGAAAAAAACATGCAAAGTTTTGTTCTGTTTCTATCTTGCTCCGATGTCGGAATCTGAGAAAGTGTTAGATCTGGTTTTTATGTAAATGAATGTGGAGTTTTGGAGATTGAGATGGGCTATGTTTATAGTTTTTTTTTTCTGTTCACTGGGGGTTTAAATTTTGTTCGATGTTCTAAGAAATAGATCATACTACTATCTTGTTCTAAAATTCAATTTCTTTATCTTATAATTTAGTTTCAAACTTGTGTTGTTTAGATCTAAGACTCTTATGTTCCACCAGAAGTGAGATGAATTGGTCTAATCCGCGGTCAAATTACAAATGTTTCAATACTTAGAGCATCCTTGAAAATGATTTTTCATATTTTTATTTATATTTTGAATTTTCATCTTTTTATTATTATTTTGATTCTCACATTACAAATAAAATTTATAATTCATAAATATTTTCATGTTTATCATTTTAATTCTTCAAATTTTATCTCATAAATATTTTAAGTTAATTTTTATTTTTTATAAATTTAAATTTTACATATAAAATTAAGTAAAAGTTTTAAAATAAAATTCATAATATTTTAAAACTAAATTTAGATAATAAGAATATTACAAAAGAAACTTAATAATTGCATGGAGTTTAATATTTAAGAATAGAATTAGACAAATAAAAATATGATATATTACTTAATATTTAACTATATATGTATTTATAATTTAATATTTTAATGTAATATTTTATTAATTAATATTACTGGATAATTTTTATATGTGTGTTATTTATAAAAGTTTTATGTATTTAGATTAACTATGACATAAATATTAGTTATAATATAAAATATAAATAATTTTGAAATTAGGTTTAAAATTTTGATTTTTGAGAAAAACAAATTGAAATTTTAAATATAGAGTTTTGAAATTTAGAAATAGAGAATGTTTTTGGAAATGTTGTTATGGTATTTCTAACCCCACTTTATTTTTCACTTTAAAATAGAGTTTTAAAGTAAAAGTATTCTAATGATACTCTATAATAGAGTGAAAATATTTTAACTCTAAATATATAATAACATGTTTTTTTTTGTTCATCGCTCTATTTTCACTGTAAAATAGAGTATTATTAGAGTAAAATCCAACTCTATTATAAAATGACTATATTTTAGAGTAAAAAAGTATAAACCATTGAAAATAGTCCGTAAAAAAAAAGCTTTAGCTAAGCTCCGGCGCTTTCCAATCCTATTCCATAATTTACTACAAAATAGAGTGGAAAATTGAGTAATGAACAAACAAACAAAAGTGATTACTCTATAAATGGAATAATGACTTTTTTGTTTGTTCACTACTCTATTTTCCACTTTATTTTGTAGTAAAATTACGGAGTGAGATTGGAAATGCTCTTAGGTTAGGTTGGCCAACAAAAAAAAAAGTTCTTTTACACAGAACTTTATAATTTGAGAGTAGTGAGAAGACTTGGATAATCTGCAAACAATTGGCCCATTAATAATCGTGGATCCGCAAGGTTTGCTATTTAAATGAGCCACGAGCTTCATGACCCCCAAATGAGTTTTAGTTAGGCTGGGCCTATGGTATAGTGATTAACGGCTGGGCCGGGCCTCCCCAAAGACAAAGACATCAACTTCAGCAAAAGCTCCTAATGGGCTTAATGGGCCAGCTCGTGACAAGGCTCCCCCTTTGGGCCGGAGTACTTCTGCAGCTTCAGAAAAAACAACAAAAGGTGTTCCAAAAACCCAAAACAAATCAGCCAAGGTGGGATCAAATAAGCCACCAAGAATTCCGACATGAATACAATTGCGTGGAACTGTCAAGGGGCGGGAGCCGGCTTGACGAAGGAGCATCTTAATGAATTGTACTACTGTTTTTTACCTAAATTTTTATTTCTCTCGGAGACCAAAAACAATCGTGATTTTTTGCAAGATGTGCAAGTATCGTTTGGATATGACCATGTTTGTACCGTGGACCCGGTGGGTCGAAGCGGTGGTCTAGCTTTGTTTTATATGGATGATCCTTCGGTTTGTATTTTATATGCAGATGAACATATGATCGATATTGAAACAAGACTGGAAGGACACCCTATTTTTATGACTTTTGTTTATGGAAACCCTGATGTTAGATACCGTGACTTGGTATGGGAACGATTATCACGTATTAGTACGACTCGAAGTGGAGCGTGGTTCATGACGGGTGATTTCAATGAGCTCACAGGAAATCATGAGAAGAGGGGAGGAAGACGTCGCTCAGAAAATTCTTTCCTGCCCTTCCGGATCATGTTAGAAAACTGTGGCATGCTCGATTTTCCATACAAGGGAAATTCCTTCTCATGGGTGGGAAAAAGGAAAAATGGGAAAGTCAAATGCAAATTGGATAGATCGGTTGCAAATGAGGATTGGCACGCCCTTTTCTCCAATAGTATCGTCGAATACCTACAACTATGGGGCTCAGATCATCGGCCAGTCCTCACACGAACCCAATCCATTATTCGGAAAAAAAAGAAAAACTTCAGATTCGACAAGCGGTGGATAGGGAAACCCGGCTTTAAGGAAGCGGTAACCTCGGGGTGGGGACTTTCTGATGAAATTCCAATCAGGAATTTTCACCAAAAAGTTACCTCATGTCGAAACAAGATTAGCTCCTGGAAGAAGAATAACCCGACTAACTCTGCTGTATTGATCGAAGAGCTAAAAGGCAAGATTGACGCAGCCCAGGATGATGAAAACACTACTACCGAAGAGCTGGAAACCCTTAGGAGACAATTAATCATGGCTTTTAGAGAAGAGAATTCTTTCTGGGAACAAAAGAGTAGGGACCAATGGCATAAACATGGAGACAGGAACACAAAATTCCACCATGCCATTACGAAACAGCGCAGAGCGCAGAATCGTATCATAAGTATCAAGGATAAACATGGCAGGCTGGTAGAGAGTGAAATCGAAGTGGAGAATGTGGCTATTCAATACTTTCGAGATCTCTTCTCTACTTCTTCGCCGACGGAAGTTGACACTTCTCTTCGTTTTATCTCCGAAAAAGTATCCCATACAGACAATAGGTTACTTTTGGAGGAACCGTCTGAACAGGAAATTAAGAAAGCTCTCTTCGAGATAAACCCAGACAAAGCGCCCGGACCGGACGGTATGACTAGCAAATTATTCCAGAAATTCTGGAATGAGATGAAGGAAGATATTATTCGACTTGTACAAGATTTCTTCGCGACCGGCAGTTTTGACCCGCTACTAAACCAGACGAATATTTGCCTCATTCCAAAGAAGAAGAAACCCCGGGACATGTCGGAGTTCAGACCGATTAGTCTCTGCAACGTTAGCTATAAGATTATTTCTAAGCTACTATGCAAGAGACTTAAAAGGCTGATTCCACGACTGATCTCAGAAACTCAATCCGCCTTTGTGGCAAAACGGCTGATCACAGACAATATCCTGATTGCACAAGAGAACTTCCATGCTCTAAGGACCAATCAGAGATGTAGACTCGATTTTATGGCAATCAAAACAGATATGAGCAAAGCCTATGATAGAGTGGAATGGAGTTTTCTAGAAACTCTGATGCGAAAGATGGGCTTTGATACACGATTGGTTGACCTCATCATGTGGTGTGTCACGTCGGTCTCATATCAAGTCTTAGTCAATGGACAACCGAGAGGGCGGATCTTACCAAAGAGGGGCCTGCGACAAGGAGACCCTTTATCCCCCTTTCTGTTTATCTTGTGCACGGAAGCTTTAATCTCACTCCTAAATGGTGCAGAAGTAGAACATAAAATTGTAGGCCTTCGTGTGGCTCAGGCGATCCCAAGGACCTCTCATCTCCTCTTCGCGGATGATAGTCTCTTCTTTTGTAAGGCGGAAGTAAGCCAATGCAAAGAAATCATGGACATCATTGACGTTTATGGGAAGGCATCGGGACAAAAATTAAATGCGGCAAAATCCTCGATGTTCTTTGGAAATCGCGTGGACCACCTCCGGAGACGTGAAATCAAAGAAGTTTTGGGCTTCTCGACTGAAGGAGGCATGAGAATGTATCTTGGCTTACCCGAACATATCTGTGGTTCGAAAACCAAAGTCTTCTCTTATGTACAAGATAGGATGAATGGGCGAGTGAACAACTGGTCATCGAGGCTTCTCTCCAAAGGGGGAAAGGAAGTTCAAATTAAGGCGGTGGCACAAGCAATCCCCACATACCCAATGTCGTGCTATTTGATTCCACAAGGCATCACGGGCAAACTAAGTAGTACGACTTCGAATTTTTGGTGGAGCTCGAAGCAGAACAGCAGAGGTCTACATTGGATAGCATGGGACGAGATCTGTACCCCTAAAAGTTTAGGGGGACTAGGGTTCCGTCACCTCCATGATTTCAACTTAGCACTCCTTGCAAAACAATTATGGCGATTGATCCACTACCCAAACTCTTTATTGGCACGCGTCTTAAAAGGAAGGTACTATAAGGACACCTCTCCTTTGGATGATCGCCGCACATACTCACCCTCGTATGGTTGGCGAAGTATTATGGCAGCAAAACCGCTACTTACTTTGGGACTACGAAAGAGGATTGGAACGGGCCGAGAAACGATGGTGTGGAGCGATAACTGGGTCCCTGACTCAGTGGCTCGGCCACCAAGGCCTGCAGACCACATTGTATACATGCTTCCCCAACTCCCCGTTCAAGCCCTTATTAGGAATGATACGAAGGAGTGGGATATACAACTTTTACGGGAGTATTTTCAGCCGGATGATATCCCCCTAATCCTTGGGATTAAACCGTCACACTCCGAAACCCTGGACGGATATGTTTGGGACTACACCAAGACAGGGATATATTCAGTTAAGACTGGATACGACCTGCTCCAGACGAATAAGACGAGACCTACTCAGGATTTGGTCCTTGAACCAAGTATCACTGGTCTTCTAGGTCATGTGTGGAGGTTAGAGGCCCCGAGTAAGATGAAACATTTTTTGTGGCAAGCTATTTCGGGCTGTGTACCAACAGCAGAGAGGCTCACCTACAGACACCTGGGCACCGATAGGAGTTGTCCTAGATGTGCTGGCCCAGTGGAGTCGATCAACCATCTTCTTTTTGAGTGCCCCCCAGCCTTGCAGGTTTGGGCTTTATCGGACTATCCGTCCATTCCGGGTGACTTCCCGAGTACATCTATTTATCATAATATAAACTTCCTCTTTTGGAAGAGAAAAGAAGTGGCTCCTCGGAGACCACAATTCGACACCTTTCCATGGATCTGCTGGTACATCTGGAAGGCAAGGAACGACAAACTCTTCAACGGGAAAGTCGTCTCCCCGATGGATACCCTTCAACATGCGTCTCTAGAGGCAGAATGTTGGAGGAAGGCAAATGAGAGCGAGGAAGATGAGGAGG